TGGCTTCCTGCACAGAGATGACCTTGGAGTGCTGGTGGAGGTGACAGCCCATGCCTGGTGCCCCACGGCTGCACAATGCCAGACACCAACCCCTCCTGTGGCCAGCACCAGGCAGGAAAACGCCTCAAGACAGAGCAGCAAGTTGGTTCAAAACTAAGTCAAGAAAGAACAAGCATGTTAATTTTCAGGCTCACTCCACACAAAGGTGGGCCAAAGGATGACCCAGGTACAAGAAAGCCTGACTTTCACTGGCCTAATATAGTGTAGTGCCACAGGTCCTGGACTCTCCTCCTCTTTGGAAATGGGAGCTATTCAGCACAGCACATCAGTCCCTCTCCCTCAACCCACCATTCAGATTTCATTGCATCTTCCTACCACCTTCAAGCCTTAAGAGCTTGGGAACCACCTCCCTCCTTTGCCTTCTCCCCAGGGGATGGAAAACTGCCATACCCGTGGTGAAAGCCACTATAAGGGGTGTGGAAACACAGCAACTACTCCCTGATGCTGCTTCCAAAGATGTGGCTCAAGTCTCTGGACTGCAGCAGGAGCCCCAGCACTGGAACATTCCCACATGGAGTTCCCAAGGTGTATTTCTAATGCCTCTAGCACTGTTATTTCTGCCAGCCCTCAATATTCAGAAAGGCAGATGTCAAATGCAATAACCATAGAGACCTTTCCTGGCAGTATGGATGGAACAGGCTGCACTGTGTCTTCATGGAAACCTGAGGATAAGCACAGGGCTTGCCTCCCACCACAGCAGGACTACAGATGCTCTGCTGTCAGTCTTTTTTTACAACTGGAAATGGAAGATGCTCACTGTTCATGGAGTGAGCATGGTAAGAATACACATCCATTTGGGTCTCAAAGAAAACACAGGTTTCTTATTGTGATGGATTAAAAAAGGGGGGAAAAAAAGCCTTAAAATGTAAGAAAATGTATCAGGACCATGGGTAAAAAATAGTCTCTGTGAAAAGCAGGAAGGAATACTCTGTGCCTCTCTTTAGCAAATAAAGTGCTCAGATACTGTTTTAATTCTGACTGAGAGGTAATATTCACATTTCCTGCAAATCCCCTTCCAGCCCTGTCAGATGACAGTTACAAGCCCCTCTGTGGCAGTCACCTCCCCCTCTGTGGTAGTCACCTCCTTCACTTCTGTCAGAGAACAGATTTCAAGAACTAAACAAATATTAAAAGTTTAAAAAAGCCAAGAGACCTTCCATTTCCTTTGTATTTCAGGCTTAAAGGAGTGATTTTTTTGCTTGCTGTTTGGATCAATAGATTATTTCAGTAATAGAAATACTAATGTCCTTAAATCTATATTTTTTTCCCCTGCAAATCACCCAAAAGTCTCTCCTGGATTAGGCCTCCCAACCAACTGATTTAGTTATGTGTCACAGGAGCCTCCGTCTCTCATTTTTCTCTTTTCCTGGGCTGAAGGAAATACTTATTGGTACTGTACTCTAAATCCCAGCCAATGGAAAGCAATGTTTCACCATCTATCTGCCCCTGACACACTTTTATGTAAACCACTGCAAAGGGAAGGGATTCACATGTGTTTTACCAGCTCGCTAAACTACGAATAAAAGGCATCCAAGGTTCAAAGAGTTAAATTACCCAACGGCTTCTACTGCCATGCTCGCCCCCCACCCTAAGCCCCTCTCTTCTCTCTCAGGGCCATGCTTGATTTATGGTGTGATCCATCCCTGTTGGGAGTTGACAGTCACTTTCATTTTCTGGTATTTTTTTCCCTTTTGCTGCCAAGGTCACCAGAGAGAGGGCCCTCCAAGTTTTCTGCATTCGTCCTCCTTCACCCTTCCACCAGCTTGGCCTCATGAATCATCCCGTCTTCGCATTGAACTCCTGATGCTTCTCTTCCACCAAACTGCCCGACTTCCGCAATTTTTCTTCATTCTCACTAACAATTTGGTAATGAAATATTGATTTTTAGTTAGATTCAAATAGATGTTATTAAGTTTGCATTGATAAATCGTTCTCTTTTTCAGGCTGGAAGTACCTCAGTCAAATTCTAACTGCGCTTTCATACCTGGTGATGTATTAATTTGACATATTTGTCACCCAAGCTGCCTGGCTCGGAGTTAGAGGAGGACGTCTGTCCTAATTGCTGCTATTTCGCAGAGAAGGTGTAATTCTAGCTGATTTCTTCCAAGGATTTTAGCCCTAAAATATTTCCAAACATATTCCATGGGATTTTTGTAAGGAAAACAAGCAACCAAACATTCTTTTCCAGAAGGGAGAGGTAGGAATTAAAAAAAAAGGCACTGACCAATTAATGCTAAATATTTCCAGTTAATTTCGTTAATTGAAATATATTCAATGTCAATGAATTTGTCATGGATTCTGTGACAAGTAAGTAGTTCGTTTAACCCTCCTCAGTGAGAGTGGACAGACAGATGAGATTTGAAATATCAGCTGCAAAATCGTTGCTCCCTGAACTAGTTAAATGAAGTGAATATTCCTGCAGATGCCTGGCACAGTAACCCCTCTGCCAGAGTTGAAGGTGGGACACGGGAACACGAGGAGGCACAAACTGTGTCAGCATTGCATCATCTTTCACCTACACCAGGGATAAGGTTCCCGGTCCCAAGATTTCATCGAGGGCAAAAATTGTGATTACAGATGGAAATAAAAATAAATTACATTGAAAAAGAGACGTGCACTTTCCCCCTCTGCAATATCCTCATGCCTTGTTCTCCTCCATGGCATGGTTTCAGAAATAGCTGCTGCTCAAGCCCTTGGTGCCCCCACTGCTGGCAGCCAGGGGGGCCTGGTGGCCAAGCACAGGGCAGAGCCCACAAAAATTCAGCCCAAACCCAACCATCAGAAGGGGGGCAGGACACATTCTTAGTGCCACTCTGTGTACATCTCAAGTAACAATTAGTTTAAAATTACTCACAACTCAGTTGAAGGTTTAAATGGATGTTTGCAGCTGCATCCGTTTGAAGACTTGAATGTCAGCTGGATGTAACCTGAGCTACCTCTTTTCAGGTGTCATTCGGCACCTCTAAAAATTCCACTTTCCCAATATCCCTGCAGCAGATACCAAAACAAGTCCTTCATACCATAAGAACGAATCTCTCATTCACTGTGAATGGATAAAGAACAAGTGTTATTTCTTACCCACTAAATTAAAAGCTACCTGCAGAAAAGTCAACCTCCAAAGAGTATCAAAGGAAAAAAAAAGAGGAAGAAAGAAAAAAGTAGCCAGCAACACGTTGCTAGCTGTCCTCTCACAGAAGTATTGAGCTCTGCTGTGCTGACTGATGTCAAGAGACAGCCATTGATGAATAAAGCTCAATTGCTTCCTATGCTCTTGTGTCACACCTTTTTATTTACAAAATAATTTAGCTTAAAAGAGGAGGTAATTCTTGGAAATTAGCTTTAAAAAGGTCAGATTAATCTACTTGGTGCCAGCTGAAAGCTTATTTTTTAAAAATCTACAAAAGGAAATATTTTTCAAAATAACAAAACTCCATCACCATCAAGATATTAAATAATTGCTGCACAAAATTAAAGTTATTACACTTAGTATGTTTGCTGCATGCTTCACATTATGCAGAGTGAAGTAAATGCTACATTCTAGTGGCAGTGGTGACTGTTAGCTCCACCCAGAGCTACCATTGCATTTCTTAAAATAAAACAAGCTGGAAAAAAGATATAACAACATAAGACAGCCTTCATTATCTCCCCTCCACACTGATACTGTAATAAGACTGTTTAAATGAATCAGACAGCAGAAGGGATGCATAGATTTCTCTACGTATGTAAGTTCATTCGTTCTTCTCACATTCCTCCGCTAACACACTTCTAGGATTATTTAGTGCAATAAGTAATTATCAATCCGCTTTGGAAAGCCATTATACATTTACATGCTCTTCAAAGCTGCTGTTACTTTTATTGCTTCTAATGCCAAAATGGGAATGTGAGAGAAGAGCCTCTCTAAGAGCAGGTTATGGTGAGTTCAGCGTGCAGAATGCAGTTTGGAGGATGCATATGGGAATGAGTCATTTCTGAGAAACATAAAACTCTGAGTTATCAAACCTTTTGCTAGTCAATTATTTTTCTTTACTATGCTTGCTAGTAATGACAACTGCTATGAGAAGGCTGCTCTGCTGGATTATTTCTGCTAACTGTTATTAACCTGATGGAAAGCAAAACAGGGCTGGACCAAAGCTTAGAGCTAAAAAGCCATGATAATTTAGAAGGTAAAGGTAAAATTCAGATATTTTGTGGGGTCCTTTCCTTATATTCCTGTCAGGTACTACAGAATATGATATGAAATGCCCCACTAGCAGACCCCAGTTAATTGAATAGCTGAGGGGAAGTGTGACAGACACATTGTCAAAGCATGCTACCAGCTCAATCAGATGCTGCACTTAAAGAAGTAAAACCTATACATACAAGCCTTTTGGGACCATCATGTCCTAATAATATGGAAAACCAGCAATGCTAGAGTATCACAAGGTTTTTAGGGGTAACTCCTGCCAGGTGAGCAGCCAGCTGCAGGGTCACCCTGCAAGATGGTTTCTCTTCTAAAAACTTGACCTGCGGCAGTGGGTGGCTCAGGGCAGTGCAGGGCTGTTACTAATCT